CAGGTGATTATAGACTGTGTCAGGTTAATAGTTAAAAGCATATTAGATATATCATTTGCTACACTGAATAATATACTATTTAGACATGAACTCATTTAAGTATTATAATAACTATGTAAGGTTTATAATAACTATATAGGATTTATTCTCAATTTATGTAGGAGTACGTTGAAAGTGTTTGAGTAATTTGCAGAAAATCTTGCAGCTGGAAAAAGATGGAATAGAATTTGGAAATATACTATTAAAGAGCAAATTCTGGTATGGTAAATTTCTAAATAATATCTGAAGAACTAATAAAAACTTAAGTGCCACTCTTCAGTTGGTGGTTGGGAATTTTGAATGTTATACCAAACAACTGGTGGTGGGGATATTTTTAGAAGTCAAATTAGAGACTGTAGTGTAATGGCTACTATAGCTATATATATGAGTGATTTGGGATCTGGTTCAACTTCTCTCCTTAAGTCCAGGGACTAATGAAAGGAGATGCTTCCTGGGGAGGTAGAACTGAGATTTTAGTATTTCTGTTCTCAATTGGAGGTCAATGCTGAAAGATTCCAAAATTTCTGAGACTCCAGTCTCAGGAGTGTCTTTAAGGAAAAGATAATGTGGTTAGTTTATTTTAGGAACCTCAACCAGCTTTTTCCATTGTTAACGACCTAGCTATTGCAGTGTTTGAGAGATCCCATTCACAAGTGCAGTGTTTGAGAGATCCTGTTCATTAGTGGACTGCCTCTGAGTTCTTAACCGAGAAGTAAGAGAAAGAATTAGGATGGTTAGCTATTAACATACACACACACACACACACACACACACACACACACACGTACTCACGCACGCACATACTACTATTGCTGATAGAGCTGACAAGAGAATGTGGTTGCCTTCTACAGAACTGGAAACACAGACAACTGCAGTCATTTACCATTAAGCTTTATGCATAGCTGAGGACAGTGAACACAGGATTCCTAAGGGTTAATTCATGTCTAAATGCATCAGGAAGGAAGAACTGCACAATCACCCAAGTCCTTCCACCTCATCAACCAGATAAACCACCTCAGTAGGGTGAAAGAGGAGGAGGCAGAGGAAGACCAAAAGGAAATGGAGAGTTCCCCCTCAGTCTGAGACAGGAACCAGGAGAGGGAAGATGTGCTCTCCAACAACACATGTAACAGAGTGTCTGGATTGTTAGAATGCTCGTAATAAGTGGTGATTCTGATTATATTACCTTATGATAGTAAAAGTATAGAAAAATAGATTGTATAATGGTGGTTAATTCTCTACCATAATTGCAAACAATGAATAGTTAAATATAAAGATTTTAGCCAACAAATCTTCTCATTTCCTTACAAATGTCGAGTCTTGTTTCCAATTCAGTGCATGTAATTCTCAGATGTGTTAGGCACTGGGGTGAACACTGATGAGATTAAAGAGAGTGATTCAAAGATCTCTCATTGGAGTCCTTTAGAGTAGGTGAGTGTTAGGATATTTAACCGTGTAATGGGCAAGGTTTATTCAGCTTAGAGTATGTTTCATACCAGTGAAAGTTGAGTAAATGTCCAACTCTTTCCCACTGCCTTGCAAAATCAAGACATTTTCTTGGTAGGTGACACGTTTTCACAGCTCAACATCCCCATCTAGTGGTTCCAGTAGAATTGAACCTTGAAAACTAATGCAATACCCAAATTGCAATCCTTAGGCCTTTGGACCACAGTAGAGCTGGTTGAGCCCCTGGGCAGCATTCAGGCTGCTTTTCACCTGTTTATGTCCTTGTGGAACTGAAAGCCTTACAAAGAGTGAATGGTACACCTTCCTTTGTGCACCGGGCCCTCTGGATTGGCTTTACTCTCCCTTCCATTGCAAGCTTTCTTTACTCCAGAATACTTGCTTCTCTTAGAAAGGGGCTGCTTACCTCTCCACCTGTACTTGATAAAGTTCTCCTGGAAATCCCTCTCAGAGTCTGACTGATGTCTGGAGAGTGCCATGGTGCTTTGAGGACAGTGATGCATGCAGGATTAGTGCCTGACAATTTTCTGTCTAGCTAGCTTCTCTAAAACAGCTTTTTCTAAGCCCTTCCTGCTGTGTGGCATCTACATTAAGGAAGGTCAAATAAAGAAGTACTTTTTCCCTTTGCCTTCAAGAAGCTCCATGAAGGCAGACCTGCATCCATTTTGGTCACTGTTGAAGCTCCCTCATAATTTGCATGAAGCTCCCCAAACAAAGCCTTTTCTTATCAGCAATTATTACCACTTATATAACTTTGGGGAAAAGACCCCTGGTGGATCTTGTAAGTTTGTGAGATTCCAGTTTGTTTCCTGAGTTTTGTGAGCCTCTCTCCCTCCTCCAGGAAGGAATGTTTCAATTCTCAGAAGGCAGTTACACAAGAGCACTCCCACTTCTAATGCTAAGAGAGAAATAAAAGAACTTAAATGACCAACGCAAGAATGTAGGTAACATTGCTATGGAAACCTCATATAAGAAAATGGCAGGGAACCATTTAAAAGGCTGAATAGCCCAAAGTAAAACGCAAAGAGGAAGGCAACATGTAACAAATAGACACCTTTTCATGTGAGAAATGGCTGGGAAAGAAAAATCCAGGTGATCATTATGCAAATAGAATGATGGGTAAAGGTGGCTTTGTTCACTTATTCCATTGGTTCTGTTACTTTTTTGAATGAGAAATGATAATATTAAGCATTGTGAAATAAAAGTTGTGTAGAATTTCCCATCCTTTCCACTACCTTTTATGTCCAGCAATGCTGTGAAAGGGAGCGGGAATCTCCTGCCCAGTGAGTGGAAATGACCAGAATGGAAAATCCTCCTGATAACTCATGAGCCTCCCTGTCTCCTTCAGTGAGTCCCACCGGCTTCACAGGCTCCAACTCCCAGTTTAAGTTGTGCTGTCACTTCTTTATCATGAGAAGTGATTCAACTTCAGTGGCTCAACTGCTCTGCTTAGCCTAGGGAATAATGACTAGGAGATGTTTCCTTGTGATTTTGGCATGTGAACTTCTTTTGTTTATGATTCTGATATGAGAATTAAGTTGAAGTTTGCTTCTGTTTGTACTATCAGGGTGCCTAGATCCTTTCTGATAGGTTAAAAATGTTGGAGAGAGCAGGTGGAGGAAGGCACCGAGGCACAGATGGAATTCTCAGCGGGATACAGATTTATTTCGCATGGGGCACCTTTCCCTCGGGGAGGGGAAAGATGACAGCCCACGGGTTGAGAGCTGGGACTTTATATATGGGGGCTTTAGGGTGTGGAATGGGGGAGTGTTTGGGGGAGAAATCAGGGAGGGGGAAGCAGGAAAAGCAGGTAGGATTAGGGTCTGGAAGTGTTTACTTTTTCCCTCTTAAGAGAAAAGCTGTTGTGATAAACAGCTTCTAAAATCTCTGGTTAACAGGTAGAATCTGCTTATCTTGTCTTTGGAGATCAGAGGAAAGGCAGGCTGCTT